TTTCAGTCGTCTTCGGGACGTCAGAGAAGGAACGTTGTTTGTTTTGCCTCAGCGGACGAAGGTTTTTTTATTATTAAGGTGAAGAAATAGATGTTGATTGTCTTTGTCATATTGATGTTGCTTTGTCATTTCAAAGCTGAGTTAAGAGATATTAATGATGTGTATTACGCATTTTTTGTCTGGTTATTTAGCGTATTTTGAGTTTTTGATTAATTGTTTACAGTATGGTTCATAGGCCTACAGTTCTGAACATTTAGCAATTATGTAGAGTTTGGTTTACATTATTGTTTGTCTTATTGTGTGTGGTGTTTTTAGAATACTCAGTGCGAAATAACCCTTTTGGTAATTGTTTTTAACCATTTTGGACAGTATTGAGAATGTTAAATATAACTGACATCCCATATTTAACTAATTTTATTTGTCACCCCATGTCATGTATATAACCTAGATATTCCGGAAGAATTAAATAAAGTTTTTGTAATTTTTGTTTTAGACTTTTATATTTATGTGTATACTACCATTTAAAATGTTTAGATCAATCAAAACTTGAATGAATGTTGATGTAGGTCAAGGTTAGCGTGGGGAACATTGCATCATAGTTTGCAACGGGTGAAAGCTACCGAAAGCGATACACGGAGATAGAGGGAAATGGACAGTGCCATCTTATAGAGTGTAAGAAATAGAGTAAGAGACGACATAGTTTCAGCTGCGGTGGCTTCATCTTTGCTTGTGAACGGTGAAAATGTCTGCTGCGTATCATAGCTCAGAGACGAAGTCCTCAACGCCCTCACATAGCTAGAGTTATGTTATTTGGAAGTCTGTCATTGATGAGTCTTATTTACGGTATAGGAAATTGTAAATTCACATTCTTTATGGCATTATTATGAATATGAAAGTAGAAAAAAGGTTAATCTTTATGGTATGGACACACTAAGCTCGTGCAAAATTGAAGATATTATTCTTTTAGAGGCAAAAAGTTTAGTCTGCAAGAAATGATCTGCAGATTGCAATAGTAATTCCACAAATAATGGAAAAATGGTAAAAGAAGAAGCTACTTACAGCTGAAGTCCATATGTGAGTTTCATCTGTGTCTGTATACATTGTAGACTGTGTTTGCTGGGGAATTTCAGAAGGGCGCCAATCAATCCTTCCCTCAGGCAGTTGGACACGCCCATGCAAATTGAATTGTTGAAAAAATTGTGACATAGAGTTGGGGACTCAGCCTCTGGCAAGTGTGTCTCCACTGTAAAGAATTACTAGTAAATATAGGTGCACTCACGTAAGGTTCCGGAAATTAGTATTTAAATATTTTACCACAACCGAATTTTTTAAAAGTTGCTCACACTGCTTATGGTGTAGTATCTAGGACTACACTGAACCCATAACCTATTACTTTGATAAGTCAGCTAGTTTCACAGTACTACATAAGTTTGAAATAGAGGGAGGGTCCAGAACGAGTCAACTAGTTTCACAGTACTACATAAGTTTGAAAAAAAAGAAGGGGCCACAACGCCTATTTTCACTTTCTTTTGAAAAAAAAGGGAAGGGAGCCACAACGCCTATTTTCACTTTTTTCATTTTGTGTACACATTTACTGTGTTTGAACTTGTATTCAAGTTCCAAGGTACGAAAATTTTGCATTGTGGAGTTTTTCTGGCCTTTTGTAGACTGCTATGTGATTAGTTCTATGTGTGTCGTTGTGGATGTATTTTTGATACGATGTATATACATTTAAATTTTGTGGAGGGGGGGGAGGGGACCATATTTGCAATTTACCTCATACCATGAGGCTTATTGCATGCACTGATTGCTATGGATTTTTTTTTCCACATAGACAATTCTATAAGCACATAATTATATACAAATTAAATATTATGTTTATGTTGACATTGAAAAAAATTACAATGGTACAAATATTATTGTTATTAACATAATGATTATCAATATTTTTTAAACATTAATAGCAATGATGATAGTACTGAAAATAAAACCTCTCATGAAAATTCAAGGAATAGAGTAAACAGGTAAATTCAGGTAGGCTTAGTGGTGGTATTTATGGTAACTTAGCTCTTGTGGAGCTATCTATATGTAAAAATGAAGAAGATAGTTATAGTGTTTATGTACAGTATGTGCACTCTTGACATTAATTTCAACTAACAACATACTGATCATTTCTACTCTTCCAGGTGTCCCACATACCTACCATGGCGCTGAGTGCGAGACTGATGTCAGGTCATCTGCAGCGTCTCAGAAGCTGCTTTGTGCACACAGCCTCAGGAGGGGCCTGGAAGGTGAGTGCAACGGCTGGCTTTCTGGGGCATTACAGGTACTTTGGAAAAATTTCTCTCTCTCTTTTCTGCCCTTTCTTTCCCCTCTTCTTTCTGATTATTCTTTTTTAAAGCTGTTCTCTCTATATGTGAGTAATTTTGTTTCCTGTGTGACTTTGCCATATAGGCTAGATGTGCAAAAATTATTATTCCATCTAACAGTAGCAATAATTTGGTCTCTAAAGCAGCCTTTCCTTCCTGAACTGGAGAGCTTTGCCGAAGACATCGACCCTCAGCAGTTTGCCCTTCTGGAAGAGCAGTGCATCCTGGTTGACGAGAATGACACAAACATTGGTGCTGCTTCCAAGCGTGATTGCCACCTGATGCAGAATGGGACTAGTCCTCTTCACAGAGCATTCAGTGTGTTTCTCTTCAATTCTTCAGGTGAACTTCTTGTGCATAGACGGTCAGATGCTAAGGTAGGTATCCTGTTTCCTTTTTATTTATTCTTATTATTCTTTGCAATTTATGGCTTGATTGATGAAAAACTGCCAGATATTAAATTATTTTCATCAGTAATTTGTAAAGGTAACGCTTGAACCAGTAGGGAATAATCTTTTTTTGTTTCCTTTCCCAGATTACATTCCCCGGCCACTACACCAACACATGCTGCTCACACCCTCTGTACACACCCAAGGAAATGGAGGAGGAGGATGCCTGGGGAGTGAGAACGGCTGCCCAAAGACGCCTGGAGTTTGAGCTGGGCATTCCGCATGAGCAGGCACAGCCCAAAGACTTCACGTACCTGACCCGTATCCATTATGCCAGCCCCTCCAACGGTAGATGGGGGGAGCATGAGATGGACTACATCCTATTTCTGCGTGGTGATGTCTCGGTGAACCCCAATGAGAATGAGGTCCAGGATGTGAGATATGTGAAGCGTGAGGACTTCTCAAGGTTTCTTAGCAGCCTGCGAGAGAGTGATGTCCCTATCACTCCTTGGTTCCACCTCATAGCTCAGAAATTCCTCCCACTTTGGTGGAAGAATTTGGACAACATTAGCAAGTTTATTGACCATCGCCAGATACACAGGATGATAGACTGATTGGGTCTGGAGTTAGCTAACGTTTGGGGAGTCAAATATTCCATTTTTATTTAATGCGATAGCTTTATTTTATGATCTGCATTTTACTGTTATAAAATGGTCAATATTTTACTTATTTTTCTCTTTTTCCTTTTACATAGTTCAGAAATTAAGCACAAAATTTAATACAGCTTGACACTTGGAATACAGAAATGCCCTCAGAAACACTGAGGACTCTACAAACAACCTGTAGCTCTTAATAGTGATACTTGGTTCAAGGAAAAGAAACTCAAACAGGAAAATCAGACTTTATATACTAATATCCCTAAAGTCTGATAATATCCTCAAATTAGTGCAATTTGATATGTTGAGTAAAATATGGAGTGCTTGGCTAAAAACACATGTGCAGACACATAGGGCCACCACATTGGGAGGGCAAAAACATGTCCAATTTGAGGAATTTTAATTGGCAGTGAAGGTAAATCTTAATGAAGGTATATTGGAAAAATCATCCAATCCAAGAAGAGAGAAAGATATATATATTTACATTTACAAGTATCTTTAAGGATAATGACAATATTGTACTGTACTTAATAAGTAAGCTTGAATGCTGAAAATGTTCTTGCTTGTCCTCTGTGTTGTGCAAAGGTAATTCCTTTGCCAAAGGATCCAGCTTCTCTAACAAGGTTTAAAATCTGTGATATATATTGCAATGTCCTAAAAGGAATATGCGAAATGTTAGGAAATGATAAGTAACAAGGTTAGTTTGACTTTTTCACAGGAATGACTAGAATGGAAAGAATTTCTAATACACTTATGTAATGCATGTACATGATTATAATATACACTTGGGCACAATGACACATTTATAGTTAAAATGTTGCGGAGTAACTTGTTCTTCAAATACTAATGGTTTAGTGAGAAACCCCAGGAACATAAGCTCTTTTCATACCAGAGATTCCTCTGCTATAAAGAAGATTTAAAAAACATTAATTAAAAAACATTTATTAATAACTCAATGTAACATTAACTGTCACACTCACATTACAAGGTGATAACTGAAACACACACCAGTAAAATATAAATATATTGCGTCAGATTTTTTACAATTTCAGACTGTGCAAGCAAGAAAGGCTTTGAAAGAATAGCAGGAAGGACAATAGTTAGTTCTAAATTCTTTACACTTTTTCTAGCTTATTTTTCAGCTTATAATTAACCAGATTTGTGTGATATTAGTATACTTTGTAATTTTATAAACTACAACTAAGCACAGATTAAAATTCATAGCTATGTTCATTTAATATACAACCTATCACAAACGGAAGAAAACAAAGACGTTCCTTCATTCTTATTTTTTAAATGATTTCTATAAAAAAATGTATACAAAAGTAATCCTAACTTAAAAACGCAGATAATTATATTTACAATAATTTCTAATAAAACATAAAAATAACTTCTCACTCATTGCTACTTCCTCCTACTGCTAAACAGATAAACCCCGTAACATTTTGGTCTTTATACATTAGAAAGTTTTCAATAAATCTTACGAAGATGGTTTTGTGTCTAAAATCCTACATCAACCAGACTTAACAGAACAAAGAGCTCGAAAGCCTTTTGTCACGCAAATAAAACGATGATGTTATCTGTACTTGGCATTCATGTACGAATAATAGGTGTTGTGCAGAATGCCATTATTAACTTTTAACTTGCATAGCCCTCTTCAGCTGACTTCCACACACATTTTCTATATTTTGTTTTTTCTGCACTTCTTGTTATTTTCAGTGATATTTTAAAATCTGTTTCATATTAGAGTTATGAAAACTTTTCATTAAAAGTCAAATCAAGTAGTCTAGAATTATATTTACATACACACACACATGCCCATGCACAGACACACACACACATACACACCCTCATGCACTCATGTGCACACACAGACACACACACACACACACACACACACACACACACACACACACACACACACACACACACACACACACACACACACACACACACACACACACACGACACACACACACAACACACACATATATATATATATATATATATATATATAATATATATATAGTATATATATATATATATGTATATATATATATATATATATATAATATATATATATATATTTTTTTTCATTTTATATATAATTATATAGATATATATAGTATATATATAGTATATATAATATATATATATATATATATTATATTATATATATATATAATTTATATATATAATATATATTTATATTTATATAGTATAATATAGTATAATATATATATATAGTATATATATATATATATATATAGATATATATATATATATATTAATATATATATACACGCCCATGTATATATATATATTATATGTATATATTAATATATAATATGTATATACTATATAGTACTATGGATATTATATAATAGTAACTACACACACACATATGTAGTATATATACACACTCATGCACACACACACACAACACCACACACACAACACACACACACACAGCGACACACACACACACACACACACACACACACACACACACACACCACACACACACACACAGGACACACACACACACCACACACACAAAACACACACACAACAGCACACACACACACCACACAACACACACAAACACACACACACAACACACACACACATACACACACACCACACACACCACACACACACACACACACACACACTACACACACACACACACCACACAACCACACACACACACTCACACACCACACCACATGTGTATTGTATACTATATATATATATATATATACTAAATAATATAACGTACTATATATTATATATACTATACTAATATATATTTATACTATATATGTGGTAGCGTATATTATAAACATCTACTAATATATGATGTGTATATATATAAAGCACTTACGTATATTCACGTATAGTTACTATATATATTATATATGTATATATATATACTATATATATATATATAGGTATATGTATATGTATATGCTAATGATATAATGTATATGTATATTGAATATGTATATGTATATTATAGTATTACATTTATATATTATACACACATATCACCGACACTCATGCACTCACATGCACACAAACACACCACACAACACACCCACACGCACACACACACCACACGACACACACAACACACCACACACACACACACCACACACACACGCCACACACACGCACACACCACACACACACAAACACACAACACACAGCACAACCCACACACACACAACCACACAACACACACACACAACACACACACCACACAACATTACACACACATTTATATATATTTATATATAGTACTATATATATACTATATATAATAATATATATATACAGTATATATATGTATGTACTATATTATGTATATCTATATATATACATATGTGTTTGTGTGTTGTGTGTGGTATTACATATAAATATATATTATATAAGTATATATATATATATAATATCATATATACATATGATATATGTAGTGTAATATATGTTATGATATATATACATAGTGTGTGTGTGGTCTGATTGTGTGTGTAATACGTACTATATATATATTAATATATAATATATATAGTATATATATATACATTATACTCATAATATACTTATATATATATTACTTATAACATATTACTGCTTACGGTATAGCATAGATATAGTGATACTTATATACATATACGTATATTACATATATATTATATACATTTATTTACATATACATATATAATATATACATATATTATTTTATATACATATATACATATTTATACTTTATACATATCTCATCGTTCTCACCACTGGTGCACTACGATCAATCGTCATATCACACTATATATTACCATAATTATTCATGTATACAACAACACACACACACACAACACAACACGCACACACACACCACACACGCACACACACACACACAGCACACACACACACACCACAGATATACTATATTATATATATATATATAATAATAGTATATGCTATAATTATATAGTATATACTATATATGCATATATGTATGATACTACGTAATATACTACTATCATACTATGTTAAATCATATATAATATATATATATATGCATACTCACACCTAATTATAATATATATATATTCCTACACACTATAACCCTCTAGATATCCTCTGACTTGATAAGCTCTACGTAGCGAGTGAGTTATATATAGCATATATATACCTTATATATCGTAGCTATATAATATAGAGTGGTGTAGTATATATAATATATATATATATTATACTATAGTATATATATATATAATACTCTCTCTCGCAGGTATATAGACGGGTTTAGGTATTTATATATCTACGTGACATTCTTATTTTATAAGCGGTATACCCGTAACTAAGCTGATGCCACTCCCAACTCCTTTATTATTCCCTCATCACTATACCTATATAATTTTTTCCAACCTCATATCGCTTATCGCTATCGTACCTCCATTAGAAACGCTCAGGGCAATTCATCTAGTTAACTATACTATTTTATAATTGCATATATGCATATTGCATTATATCATGCTGATATATATATATAGCTTATATATATATAAAATATATTATCTATTATAGTATATATTATATATGCATATTATATATATATATATATATATATTATATATAGAATATATTATATATATATATTATATATACTATATTATATATATAATTATATATTTATATATATAATATATATGTATTAATATTATATATATATAATATTGTATCTATACATATATATATATTTATATATATATATTATATGTAGTATATAGTATAATATTATATATACTAATAATATTATATCTATATATATATATATATATATATATATTATATATATGTACTATTATATATATATTTATAATATATATGCTATATATATGGTATATATGTATATATATATATAGTATATATAATTATATTCTATATAATATATTATCATACTATATATGTGTGTATATGTATGTGTAGTATATTATATATATATAATATATATATATATATATATATATATATCATATATTATATATATATATATATTATATATATATATATATATATATATACTACACACATAAAAGGGTGTTTGTGTGTCCTCACAGGTTTGGCAAGCACGGTTTTTGGAATCACCTTCCTTATTATTATATTAAATAATAGCTCTTGTTAACGTTAATTGCTGTAACGCTGTTTTAGTATAAATATACCCTATAAATTTGCTTAGTTAGTTGTTCTTGGGCTCAAATATGCGACTACTGTGAATTTTTACGGCTGGGGTCATTGCCCCGGCTACCCCCCTCCCCTTTCATCCTAAAGGGCCCTCCTTTAAAAAAACAAAAAAAATCAAGAAATACAAAAGATCATGATATTAATCACTGAAATGCATAATTTTATTTAAATATGGAATGTTACAGAATTTTAGATTGGCTTAAGAATAAAACCGAAATACATGCAAAAAATGTAGACATTTTTCTGGAAAGAAACAGGAAACAGAAAAATATCAAAGGAACAAAAAACAATAACAAGAAAACAAAATTTACAAAGTCAACTATTTTCATACAGAAATTGATTTCTTAATTAAAAAAACACTATGCATAGGCTGGTCTATTACCTAGCACCACTACACTTTGAACTGAATATTTTTTTCTGTACTCTGTACTGTATAATATGTTATTCAAAATTTCTTATGATGAATGGAATGTATAAAATTTATCTAACTATAACCTCAATCTCATATTTACATGAATATTGACAGGGAATATTTGTAAATTTAAAATCTTACAATTTTCAAATGCTTTTGGAATGTAATTGGACAGAAACTTTGGTGATAAAAGATAAAAGTAACAACAACATCTGACAAACACAATACCAATAAAAACTAAGCTGCAAGCTGCACTAATGAAATACTATGAAACCTTAAATCAATGATAAAATAACAATCTGTATATATAGTATACACATTCAATAACAATATATATTTTGAACATAATTATGGCAATTATATACACCCACATAAATGCATACATATATATGAGTGTGCGCACGTATTGATATACATACATTTGCTGGTGTGTACAGTGAGCATATAGGGATACGGTATGTATTTATATATACGTTTGTTTGTATTTATGTATGTATGTCTGCATGTAATTTAGAGTATACACTGCTTAAAAAGCTATTTTCTCATCAACAGATAAGTCTCTATAAAATTTTCATAACTTAATCATAATTTTCCCAATGCCACTAACCTGATGTAAGTATGTAGCTGCATTATGTTTAAGATTATTGTATGACAATTTAACATGCAAAAATGAATCATATTTATCACTTCTATATTTCTAATAACATATTTACATACAACTATACGTCATTTCTACATAATGGCATATTCATTCAGTAATATAACTAACAATATTTGTTAGATTCTTAACATAACCTTAACAAACTTGAAAAGTACATATGGTATCTGAAATGTCTTTCATGTCCTCTGAAACTGTATTTTGTATCCCTTAGAATTCCCACTGTTATCAAAATCCTAAAACAAAACATGTGATCTTAACAAGCTCTACAAGATACAGCTTAATCATTTTTGAAATATAAAGTAATTTACAGAAAAGTAAAATACATATCATTACAAGTTAACACTAATCCTAAAATTCAATCTCGGAGAAAAGGAACTGTAATAAAAAGGTGTTAAATGCTCCCCATCGTGCGACGGTACTCAAGCTGTTCTGTCTGCATCCTCTTGAAGATACCATACTTCTTGTCATGGTACCTGAAAGCAAGTAAATTTATGATCTTATTATTAGGAACTTCTAAATCTATGTAATGAATCTGAATAACAAGTCATCAGAAAATTATACTTAGTATGTCACATAAATGGTAATTACTAGTGTTTTAAGAATGCCTTATGAGGAAATATTTTTAGAATAACTTAATAACATGAAATTGATGTATTTGCAAGTAGAAAGTTTTTCTTTGTTTCAAATTACTTTCAGGAATCATAAGAAAATACATTTTTAATCAATCCAACTAAAATTCAGTGTTATTATCAACAAGCATCTGGTAAGAAAAGATAATTTAAGTATAAGAAAAAAAAAGTCTAGACCATTAACAACTACTTAAACCATTAAGGAAAAAAGGCTGTTGGCTTGCTCCTTACTCTTTCAATTCCTTCGTTGGATGGAAGGCCTGTGCTGCCCCACCCATGGCAATCGCAGCTGAAGTCAGGTCAGGGAAGTCTCCAGAGGCAGCGGCACCCAGCATGGCTGACCCCAGAAGTACAGACTGCTTGGTGGCTGGGATCAGCACAGGAACACCTGCACCGTAAAGGAGACACAGGGGACTAAGAGAGTACTCTTTTGTTGTGCAATTTCCAAAGAATATATATGAATTACTATTCTTTTAAAAATAACTTTATATAACAAAGTATGATAATTAGGCACTTACTTATTTTTACATACAACAGAATACACAATTTGACAAATTCAACTTGAAAACAGATCAACCTGACCTGATGTATATATCAAGCTAAGACAATATGCACAGAGAAACCAAACACATCAAAATATGGAATCAGCCCCCATACCCAGTGCATCTGCATGGGTGCTGATAAAGACCGGTGAATTGGAGAGTCCCCCACACATGAGGACTGATGTAATGACGTGGCCTGAAGCTTGCAGTTGCTCTACAATATGCCTCGTTCCGTACTGTTTTGCAGTGAAATATGAGTCATGCTGTTAGTCACAATATCCTACTTCTAAAAAAGACAAGACTTAAAATTACCTCTGTCGGACATGGTTTTCTGTGTTAAATCATTGACTTGGTAAAGAACATCCAAATCAAAATGTTATTTCACATTCTAGTAGCCCTACAGTCAGTACTTCACAGTTCTAGTGGATACTGAGATAAGAAAGTTTTAGCTCAATCTATTATCACACAAAACTAATGCTTAAAAGATATAAAGAAGGTCAGAAAAATATGTTAGATACACTGCTTTCAAATACTGCTTTTACAGTAACCAAGAACCAATTCTAAATGATAAGTTAAAATCTCAATACTTACAGCTAGTGCTTGAATTGTGGCCAAGTAAAGCACAGCCAAGTTTCTCTCACTCACATCCAGAGTCAAACCGCACACCTAAAAGGGGGATGAAAAGGAGGGAAAAAAAGGTTCATTCTAATTTCCACATTTGTAAGATATATGAACACTTCTCAGATTGGCAAATACAAACAATGCTTCCTGGTTGCACAATTCTAAATATCAGTATCAAAGTTCATTACTTCCTTTCTCTAACACTGAGTACCTAAGACAATCTTAGCATTTAATCATGCCATAATGGGCAACAAATCATCCTTCATGAAATTCACTTCAACACAACCTTTGAATATAAGATTTAAGTCACTCCTTCCGATTTTAAAATGCAAGATACCCCTTTCAATATGATTAAAGAGAAACCACAGACTTACCACTTGAGTCACACAGCTGGTAGGCTTTAGATTAACTCACAACAGACCTATAGTCCTCCTCCATACCCTCTATGACTATACCCCAGCCCCATTACACTTACCATGCCCATCATAGAGGGTTCGGCAAGAGGTGACCTGTTACCATGGAAGTCTGGATAGACGTGCACATCTTTGGTTAGCAGAGAGACGTGGGCGAGACCCTTCTCCTTCGCCATGACTGTCAGGATGCCCTCTAACCAGCCATACTTGTCGCTGGGGAGGAGAGGAATCAGCGAGTGAAAGTACAGGGGCTTTGGGGGATGTCTTGCAATATATGTCATTGGGAGAAGGGGAAGGGGGGGAAGAGAGAGAGAGAGAGAGAGAGAGAGAGAGAGATGAGAGAGAGAGAGAGAGAGAGAGAGAGAGAGAGAGAGAGAGAGAGAGAACGAGAGAGAGAGAAGAGAGAGAGAGAGAGAGAGACAGACAGAGAGAGAGAGAGAGTAAAAAATAAGACTACTTATACTCGAAAGCTAAATCAGTAACCTCCTTTACAACTCCAAAGCAGCACCATACCTTTGAGGGCACTTTGCCGATGCTGGATGGCTCTTGATGACATGGTCGACAAGAGCACCAGTGGCACTCTGGCCTCCCTCATTGAGCCAGCAGTCGGGCACCATGGCACTCAGGTATGGTCCCCACACTCCTGGCACGAAGATGGGCTGTTCGCTCACGCACATGTGGCAGGTGGAAGTCCCGCAGATGAGACCTGAAGAGGAACTGTGTTAAGTTTATGGTTTGTGAATTAAATTAGTAAGTTATTTACATACATAATATGAATAATGATTTTTTAAAAATCAAAAACTACTATATATACTTCATTAAAAACAAAGACAATAGGAAAAGAAAAAAAAGCTATTCAAACAATAACAGAAGCACTATCAACAGCAGCAATACTAAAGTTATCAAAAGTAGTCATAAGGCATTAATGTCTACATTACAAATTATGTCTTGTACATTGAAAAACATAAATAAAGTTGATTTTCATTTTTATTTTGGCTACAAGTGTTTAGACTCATGGTTCATCCACTGGCAACACTGTGTGGTTAATTTGGGATTGGAAGGGACTGTATATCTACACTTGGTCATAGACATATCAAAAAGCCAAGATATAATTCTTTGTGACATGACACTCTCACTCACAATTTTCTTGACACATCTCATAACAATTCTTCCTCACTCATATCTTTCTCAACACACTCATAACAAAGCCTCTTCTCATACCAAGTCTCCCAACCAAGTCCTCCTTGGCTTTGGCTTGAGCAGACACCAGTGCCAGGCCACCTGCATGCGCGTCTATGAGGGAAGTTGCCACATGAGTCGACTCTGACAGGCCCAGCTGAGCGGCCGCCTCTGCAGACAGTTGCCCACAGTCTGTTCCTGGAGGAAGCACTTCCTGGCCTGAAATGGAAGACATATAGTCAAGGAAAACACTTATTCAGAGCTGCAAAGCACTACATGTTCTCTTGGATCTTAAGAATCATCCTACATGTAAAATCACAAAGCATAAAGTTCCAGTTACTGTAACACAAGGAAGATAACTACAAAACTAATAGAAATGATAAATAAAAATATAATCAAGAGATTGAAAAGCAGAACTTATGCCTTCTTGGCATTATCTTTGTCAACCATTATTCTCAGAGGTAGCACTCTTCCAAAGCCAAATTTACAATTTCATAAAACCTACCAATTTTACGCCAGCCATCCTCAGCCAAATCTTCGAGGCCAACATCCTTAAAAAAGCCACGATCCCATTCTTGGCTGATCCCATCGCACTTGTATGTCCACTTGCACACAGTCGAACACAAGGATCTAGAGAACAGTGAAAAGACATGATAATTTTTTAATAGCAAAGAATTTCAAAATGAAAGAAAGAAAAAATAAAATTGAAGATAAGTTAACTACAGCATTTATTTCTAGTGTAATTGCCACAATAATGGATTTTGCAATTTCAAATATACCAAGAAATCTCCAGGCATTTTTGCTTCATTTGAAGAGGAATCACATGTCCTAATTCATTTTTACCTTAAAGTTATTATATTTCACTTTAAATGAGAACACACTGTCCAGCTCATGTATCTACAGTATCATATAGAAAAAAAGTCCATCTCCATCAAAATATTCACATCAGGCAATTAACTAAAACTAAGGAAATGTTTTTCTCCAATAAGCCCCAACTTCATACACACACACAGAAAAACACACACACACACACACACACACACACACACACACAACATACACACACACACACACACACACACACACACACACACACACACACACACACACACACACACACACACACACACACACACACACACACACACACACACACACACAAACTCAGAGGGATTTACCTAGACAGCCGCCCTGTTGCCCTGAACGTCAGAAAGTCCGGCAGGTCCAGGAAATGCGAAGCTCGTCTCCAGGTTTCCTTGAGGTGTGTCTTCAGCCATAGGAGCTTTGGGGTCTGCATTTCGAGGGACACTTTCCCCCCAACGTACTTCAACACTCTGAAAAGAAAGAGTTGCTTTTGTGGAGAGGTCTTTTATTTCGGCGAACTATTCTATTATGAACACAAGCACAAACACAATCACGTGAACACAAAAATGAAAATGAAACTAGCCACTAGCTATTCTATTATATTTTTATTCATCTTAGTTTTAAACTACTGTACCAAAATTACCAACAAAATTTACTGTTACAACAACAACAACAACAAAAATTGAATCATAACATACTTCGAACACCTTTTCAAGAGCACTCATACAATGCTATACAATATACATAATCAATAAACAATACACTGAATAAGTCCTGGGTTTCCATTCCCTTTCAGTCTCTATGCACATTACATAATAAAGTTCATGTAATTCTATGGTTTTGTGGTTATAAAGGCCACATCTAACTTCCTTGAACTTCAGAAAAAAAAAAAAAATACTGGGTTATTCAGTTAGATATATTTTTGTCTTGTTTCTTATTCTGATGCCAAATGCCTCAAAAAATCCAGGGAAGAACAGAGCAGAGGAAAGAGACTATGTGGGAAAAGAAAGAAAGGAATAAGAAAAAAGAGGAGAGGGAGAACAAAATGACAAGAAGAATAAACAAAAAGAAAAAAAGAAGAAAACAAAATGAGGGGGGGGAAATCATCTGTTTACTTTAGAATCAATTCTTACATATCAGCATACTAAACAAAGGATTAGCTAGACATCCTATAACTTATCTTAACTGATTATAGAAATTAACAAATAAATAGCATCTTTTAAATTGAGGGAATATAAAGACATATAAAGCTCCTTGTTAACAACCATACATTTTCTTGATGCTAGGGCAACAACAACTAATACAAAATTTTAACTACAAGGGAAGGAATGCATAAGAAGTCAGTAAATGTTTTATGTGACCTGTATAACCTGCTAGCTCATACATACTAAAATTTGGAAGTTTAATTTTGATAAAAAAATATAAATATTCTACTGAATCTATAATACATATCTTTTTTCTTTCTTTCTTTCTTTCTTCCCTTTTTTTAATAGGTTGCAAATGTTCCTTTTGAAATTACTTCATTTCTTCACTTTTGTAATAAAAATCTTAACGAATCTTTTTTCTAAATAACCCCCTTCCTAAATAAAAGAAAAAAAAGTCACCGTGCCCTACTCACTCTCTGCTCACTCATTCTTTTGCGAACATCAATCCTCCACTTAAAAGGCTCGGAAAAAGAAATACAAGCAGCTCAGTCTCTATTCTGCCATCGAGAAAGAATCTTCCAGGGACAGGGATAGACCTAAGCACAGACATACTTACGAACAACTTACTCATGCCCGCCAGCATTGATCCGGTCTGCCTGCTCCTTGGCCCGGTGGTCCATCCACATCATGATGTTGAATCGATCCTCTCCTGAGATCATGAATAATCACTTAATTACTATAGGTTGTAACAGATGTGCGCAACCAAAGAGGTATTGCAATACCTATATAAGTTATAGTGTTTACTTTATATCTCTTGCTATATGACTTATTTTATATCTGAGAAAGTTACCATTATAAGTAACAAAGATGAAAGACTGCCATTCTATTTGAACTTTATGTGCAATCAAAAGAACATAATATGACTGATTAGTGATTGAAGAATAATTTGAAGAAGAAGAAGAATTTGAAGAAGAATTTGAGGAAGAAGAAGAAGAAGAAAAATAAGAAGAAGGAGAAGAAAAAGAAGAAGAAGAAGAAGGAGAAAACGAATAAGTAGAAGAAGAATTTGAAGGAGAAGAAAAAGAATTTGAAGGAGAAAAAGACAAAGAAGAAGAAGAAGGAGAATTTGAAGGAGAGGAAGAAGAAAAAGGCGAAGAAGAAGAAGAAGAAGAAGAAGAATTTGAAAGAGAAGAAGAAGAATTTGAAGGAGAGGAAGAAGAAGAAGAAAATACAACAGACAAAACAAGACAGATAACAGTGATACGCACTTACCCGTTGCCGGACTCACAGTGACCGGTTTAAGGCTGCCGTCAAGCACTACTAGGGAGCAAGTGGCATCGAAGCCTAGGCCGTGAATGGACGATTTATCTGCGATCTCACTTGTCACAAACTATGGGAGACGTTTTCAGTCAGATAATTTGTGTTGGTAAATATTAATGGGACTTTGAAGGTACATGCATCCAAGATCAATATTTTTAGTATGAAAAGAAATACTTTGTAGGGTTTTCTGAATAATTATACACTGGTATTTAGCATATCTTGATAGAATAGGTTACCATAATGATAAGAATAATAACAGTAATAGTAGTAGTAAAAACAAAAGCTAATAACAACGATGATGATGATAATAAAAATAACACTCATAATAATAAAGCTAACAACAATATTAATAATGATATTAATATTAATGTCTGTGATACTACTACTAAGAGTTATATTATCAATGATAATAATAGTAATATCCCTAAAAATAATTGTAACTGTAACATCAGTATCAAAATAAGTAGCTTGAACTATTTCCCTCATTTGATAAAAGCAAACAGAACTAAATAATATATTACTATAACTTTACAAATAGATATATAAATGACAACATTAAAAACAAAAAAGAAAAAAAACAGCACTCCATATTAACAGTCTTATGATAACAATTATAATCATCAAAAAAAAATTCTTTAGTTTCCCTATCATCTCATTATCCTTACAAACACTGAACTAATAATGATAATAACAATGACAAAACCTTGATACAAAAATGAACTAATAAGCAACTGAATTTTCTACATTACCTTAACGGCCTCGCAAACAGATGTCCAAATTTCCTCCGAATCCTGTTCATAAAAGTCTGGTTTGGGGTTCGAGACAGTGATGGGTATAGTGTGCATTTTCACCACAGACCCCAAGCGAGACACCAAGCCCGCTCGAACACTGCTTGTGCCGACATCCACCCCTATGTAGTACGTCTCGCCCATGGTGTCTGTCGCGGGGAAATTTTGGGTTATTGTTAGAAATAATTCAGTCTGTATGTTATGTTGTTTGTTTGCAATCTCTGTTGTGCAATAATATTAAGTTTTTAACATATACTCG